TGTGAAATATTATTACCATTTAAAATAACTGTTTTCTATTCAAATCTATTTTAAAAGGTAATTTATTCCTGTGATGCAAAGCTGATTTTCTAGCAGCCATTACTCATTAGTCTTCAGTGTCACATGCTCCTTCAGAAACAAATTATAATATACTGATCTGGTGCTCAAGAAAAATTTACTATAATGATTTTTTCCAGGATTCTTTGCTGAACAGAAAGCTAGAAGGAACAGCATTTATTCGAAATAGTGATCTTTTGCAACATTATGAAAGTCTTTATCGTCGATTTTGACTTTACTGTCGATTAAATGCACCCTTGCTGAATAGAAGTATTAATTTCTTTAAAACAATATCTTATGGATCCCAAACTATTTATCATTTCCAAAATCAAACATATCAAAATGATTAAATATCTTACCATCTTCACCATCATCGTTAAAATCACCAATGGCCACAGAGTAACCTAAAACCGAATCAAATGATGACATTAATATCTGCATTGCACTAGCGATTGTTTAATTTTGTACATTCTTATCAACTCAAAGCACCCAAACATTAAATACATATGTAACCCAATATTACACTGAGCTCTACTGCTGATTTCCAGGTAACAGTGCAACACCACAAAACAAAATTACAACTTCAAGAGACATCAAAACAAAAGACGCAAACAGGCTTACCCAAATAACTGTCATCATACTGAGCCCCGGCTGACTTGGTTGATAACTGGTTACTGTAAGGAGTAAAAAACTCCTTACTGTATCTGCTGATGACCTCAGTGATGTCATCTGAGATCAGCTGACCTAGAAAGAGAAAACAGTTAGGAAAGCACAAATGTGAAACACGCATATGAAATGAAGTGTGCAGGTAATAGAGATTTCTTCAACCTGCATATAAAGTTCGACAGACCAGAAAGCTGCAGTGCCAATGTATGCAGACATGTACACGTTACAAGTAAAAACATGCTTAAAGGGTATTCTAAACAGTCACGCCCTCCTCAATCATGTAATATTATTATTAATGGTTGTTCATGCATTTAGTCATTCTTATGGACTTTAATCTTAATTAGACTAATCTAGACTAGTCTCAACATCGGTGTTCGGGAGTAAATTAAATGTTGTGATGCTACTAACTTCATTTTTCAGTAGTGTAACAGGAGCTCAGGTTTTTTAAAAACAGTGTAGCTTTTTCAGCAGCAAGCTATTTTTTTACAGGAGGAGATCAAACAAAACAGTACATCAACATGTTTTATGCTACGTTTTATTGCTCACACAGCCTTACAACAGAGCGAGCTGACGCAATAATCAAACACACTCCCTTCAAATGATCTCTTACTTAAGTCTAATTTATTTCAGTGGCTAAATTCCTTCAGTCTGTTCATTTAAACGTACCACTAAAAAAGCGGTTAAAAATTTTAAATCTTTGAATTTTTAAACACATTTAATTAATTAGCGTAATCAGTAAAGTTCCCAGACATTTGTCACTTTTTGTAGAAAAATTTACGATAATGTAGGAATTCATTAACAAATGGAAACACATCAAAATAAATACTGATTTCAAGTCTATCCAAGGGCAGCTTAAGTTTAAAAGCTTAAAGCACTTTACTCTTAGCATGTTGTATAATTTCATACCACTAGCAAAGAGAGGCACTCAGCAGTAAAAAACAAAACAAAACACAAACAACAACAAAAAAATTGGCTAAAAATAATTTAATTTCTTTATAAATCATTTAAGATTTCTTCAAATTACGGAGTAATCAGTACAATTCCCAAACGTCCCCCAGATTTGTCGCCTTTTTGTAGCAAAATAATTTTGTTAATGAGACGTAAATTCATTCAAAAATGTAAACAGGTCAAAATAAGGACTTCAAGCCTAACCAAGGTTTCCTTCAGTTACTATCAATCACATTCACTTTTCTGAAAGCATTTTACTCTCAGCAGGGTGTATAATTATCATACCACCAGGAAAGAGAGACTCAGCAGAACAACTAAACAAACAAAAAGGCTATTAGAAAGCTTTTAAACTGAAACTTTAAAATGATCACTGCAGGTCATGCAATTCATGAAAGATGTGTTAGACATTAAATGCCTTTTCTGGGCACGGTTCCTACCATGACCCCACCCTATGAAATCATAACAGAGCTGCGATTCAGTAAACAACCATCTCAAAATCATACAGCACAACACAAATAATTTCAATGAAACATCATGCCCATCTTCACTGAAGGAGACAGCATATAATTCTGAATTATTTACAGACTCAAAAACAAAGCTCCTTCTCGTCTGAGCAGCATTTCTCTGACAGGCGGGGGCCAAAGACACATTTGTGAATTTAAACGTACTGCCCATGTTGTGCAAACATTCACTGGCCTGTTTTGTGCGAATGCTATATCTGAAGACACAGCAGACATTCTCTGAGTCACAAAAAATCCTGACAGAGCACATTGTTGTTTCCCTTTTTTCCATTATGCTTTTCAGTGTCAAATTCACAGAGGGATAATAAAATAAATCGGTTTACCTTGCCAATAAAAGCTTCCTGGTCCTCCAATAACAACCCGATTCTTCTGAAGGAGACATAAAAACACGTTTTGGTACATTTAGTACAAGTCTGGGCAAGAATAGGCAATAACATACACAGCTA